CAGCGGGACTCGGCCAGCGCATCGTAAAAAGACGATATCAGGCCGCGTATTCTGCAAACCCCGTGGTGTGTACCTTCCCAGGACGATTCTTGCCGCGCGGATGTAGAATAAAGGGATCTCTCCCCGGCAGCCGTCGAATGATAGATGTAATTCGTGTGCTTTCAGGGCCGGCCGGCCGGCCGGCCGTCCGACTATCGGAGATCCCTTGCTGTCCGCATACAATAGCAGCCCTTTAGAAAACGATAACGTTCTCTGTATGAGCGCCGTGTAACCAGGCATCTCACGCACTCGCCTCCACCCCCACCCTGTAAATCCCACAGCAAACTCGCCAATTCGATCCTTTCGGAGCGAAAATTCGGACCGGCCGCACCCTCCCGCTTCTCACGCTTTCCATTTTTGACGTAGCGCGCGGCGCGAATTGAACAACTGAGCCTCAAATTAAAATTCCATTAAAACAAAGCGCTTGTTTGCTCGACATTAAATCGCTGGAGCGGCATCCCGCGATTCTGTTGGCTCTGAAGATCGATTCGCAAAAAGCCATACATTTTCCGATCTCTTTGAAACGCCAGCCCGGACAAATTGAATTTCGGCGTACGAACGGCCTCTCTCTCTCTCTCTCTCTCTTTTCCTCCCTCTCTCGGGAATTATCGATTACAGAAATGTTTGCCGGAGATCGAAATTTTTCGCAATCGAAGTCTCTTCCGTCCTCGTGGTTGCTTCCCTCCGACCGCGAACGCGCGCGTTTCCGGAGTCTCGGCTTTGTGGACGCTCTCCTCCTGCGCGTTTAACATACGAGCGGATTGACGTCGTTTGGCGTCTCGCGAGTTTATATACGACAGGAAAGAACTCTCCTGAAGACGCCTGTCGTAAACCCGTGTTACACACGGATTGTTAGATCTCCCCCGGGTGCGCTCCGCGCGTGTTTGACGCACCCGAGCGCTCCCCCCCCCCCTTCTACCATTCCTCGCAGCTCCTTCTTTGATGCGAGTACTCCGTGGATGTTACGCCCATAATGATAATATTATTATACGACGAGTATACGTTTGCCACGCCGGGCGTCATATACCGCCCCGGTATCGGGTATTATCGCGAATACGTGATTGGATAAGTTCATCCTCTCGCCCGGGACTCGTTACGATCTCTCGAACTCGTTGCCGAAGAAATATAATCCACATGCGGGACCGCTGGATTACGGTGACGTCGGATATTCGCGTTAATAAAGTTCCCCAGCTGCGGTCGCGTGCTTTGTGATTTGCCGTAATCTCGAATTACCTCTGTTCACCGTGGAGCCGAGTTACTGGATTGTTACGGAAAATTATCGAACGCTCGAATAGCTTTCATCGCTTTCCCAGGAATAATTGCGGAAAGCATTTCTGCTCGTGCGTTTGTCATAACGAGAGAGGCTTCTATACCGCTGTGAAATTTCAAGTATGTTCGTATCTCCCTCTGGGATTTATCCCTCCCTCTCTCCGGCGCGCGCCATTACACTGTAATTGTGTTATTAATAACTGAAACGCGTTTGTAAAATTTTGACGGGAATCACTATTTTTGCTGTTGCACGTTGAAAACTGCCCAGCCACGCGCGTTGCCGTCATTAAACGCGTGTCATTACACAGGAACTGTATTACATTGTAAGAAGGAATATTTTTGGAATATAATTGGTAATATCTGGATTTGATTAAATATTTTCGACTAAACTGTTCGGTTATTGTAATACAATTATTTAGTATTATATACTGCATACTTGTGTATAATATATAACACTAAATGATTTGGTCGCAGTAACCAAACAATTGAAACTATTTAAGAGGTCATTCAACAATTACGTCACATTACAAAGGGGAGGGAGGAGGGGAGGGTTCTATTAGCTTTTACTAATCAAAATTATAAAACGAAGCAATTAATTTGATATATGCCTAAAATCATTCGCATTTTAGAAATAGATAATAGTAGGTGTACAGTCTAATTATTATTACGCACAATATGGTTACAAGTCATCTCCTTTCATTCTATGTGTCGGCGAAGGAAGGGGTAATTCCACATGTTGCATAATATTGGAAGGGGGTAAAAACTTTGACGCGAAATTGTGACGGTGAAGTGGGGAAGGGAAATAAAAATGCTGAAATTTAGCGTGACGTAATTGTTGAATGGCCCTTTAATCAAATCTCGATAACAGTTACGAAATCCTTGTCTCACTATAACTAACATATAGCTGAAACACGCGTTGTTGTGAAATTTCTCTAAGAATCACGGCTTCCTTGTGACGCGAGAGTCGTCCAGTTACGTAAGTCGTCTTGTTATCATCGAACGTCTTTCGCTCGTCCGCCGGGAGTCTTCGCACCTCCATAATTCGACATTCACGAGCGCGCCCGTATCGTGTCGCCGGGAGGTATCGATATTGCGCATTCTTAACATGGCGAGGCGATTGAAAGTAAAGTCCATTCAGCCGTTTAACGTCCGCGCGGAGAAGGAGCGGCAGTCCCGCCGCTGCACTTTCGGCGAAGTTCCCGAGACCCTAGATTATGGTGTACTCTCACCGGTGGCTTCTTCTTCCCTCCCGGCCCTTCGCCCCGGCATCGTCGTGGAAGAGAGCAAAGTTATCCGGCAGCTCGTATAAGCTCGACTACGGGAAAGGGGGAGGGCCGTCCTCCTACCTGTGTTTCTTTCACGTTATAGCCCTTCCAGCTAAACTTCCGGGCCATTAATTTACATTAGGACATTTTTCAAGAGCGCGCCGGGGCTCTCTCGGCGCGGGCGCGCACCTTAAAATTGGCGAACTCCTCTTTTTAACGTCTCTCCCCTAACACGAGAGAGCCCTCGAGTCGCGTCCCTCCCCGTCGCGCGCGTCGCCGCCCCTTGTCGACGTCACGCTTGAATTCTTCACCATTAAACGACGACGCGACGGTAGAAAAAGGAACGAGCGGAGCGTATATGAGATAACTTCAGAATTTCATTTAACGACGAGCGAGCGAGCGGCGCGGGCGGACGCGTGCACGCGGAAGGCGCGCTCTCTCACCCGGTTCTTTCTCTCCTCCCTTGGCGGTCATTAAATCACGCCCGTGGCGAGTCCGTCGCGCGACTTGATTGATTTGTAAAACGGCCCCGTCGATGCCGACGGGGGATTGCCGTTACTCTTGAATTCAGCGTGTTTACGTAACCGTATAAGTGCTACATATATCACTTTATAATTTCATTACGCGCAGCCACGTACGTTTGCGCGTATGTGTGTGCACGTATGTGCATTACGTAACGCGCGCGTGGTGGCCGCTTACGTCAACATTGAAACAACGAGCGCGGAGCATCGGCTGTCGCTAAATAATTTATTAACTCGTAAAACCCGATGTGACGTTAGCGCGCATGTCGCGTCCGCTTTTGAATTCCTGCTCCATTAAGGCCCGCGCGCGCGGGGTCTTGGAGAGAGCTTGAGAACTCCGTATATCATTCTTGAAATTTCATTAGTGGCTCGCGCCATTAATGCAGGATACGATAAATATATAATGCGGGATATACGTTCTGTCACTGAAAAATTTATTCACTCGTAAAGCGAGCCGGTCGGTATCGATAGCTGTGCGCGCCGAGCGAGAAAGAAAGAAAGAGATAATGAGAGAGAGAGTGAGAGGGGGCAGATAGGGAAGGGGAGAACTCTTCGTCGGAAAACGCTCGGACTAATTAACTTCGTGTTATTATACGAATATTCTGTTACTTCCTAGTTGAGTGCGCGGTAAAACACAGCCGATGATCCTGCTCCGGCGCGCGCCGAGCGATTCGCCGTCCTTCTCCCGAGCAGGAGATAACAATCTCCGTTTCTTCTTAATAGGGGGGGGACGATAAATAAAAGCTGCGACTTTTCGAGACGGCGGATCGACGTTTACGGGATTGCGTTGTAAAAAGCGGAAGCGCCGAGAGCGCGAATCGCTTTCGAAAAGTTCGGTAAGAGAGCCCTACTGAGTCGGATGTATCGAGCGTAGTTTGCGATCGGGGAAAAAATTGCTCGTAAAATGCGCCGCGATGGACGCCGGCGTGCGAGTTTAATGCTCGGTCGTGCGGACATCGAAATAAACAGAGAATGAGAGAGAGAGAGAGAGAGAGGGAGAGAAAGGGAGGAAATAACTGTCAGTGACATCGTGTCAACGACAACAAATATCCTCCCCCACGGGCATCTGGCAATATTTTCAGCCGTAATGTTTGCATTACGATCACACAATGCGACTATCGTATGACCGTAAGTCCCGGCGATGTAATTTTTTGATAAATTCACGTCGCGTCCGAATGCTCGCGGGCGGATATCGGGGAATATAAAAGCAACTGCGGCGCCGATCGAGTTTTCTTGTTCGGCTCAATATGAAGGTAATAATGAAATCGAACTCTTTTCTTGTTACCGTTAAAGGATGACGTACCGTTCCGTTGGAAACGCACGCTTTATACGGCGTCGCTCTGTTTCCGCCCCTTGCAGCTACATTCATTTCTCATTTCGAACACGTCGATGCTCGGAGCGGAGTTGAACTCGAAGGCAGAGGAGAGAAAATCAACTTATGAAAGCCCGGTGCTCGATCTAACAAGTCTATGTTTAAAGTTCAGGACTCCGAGTCGCAAAGCGCCGATGACGCTGCCAAATTGCGTTTAAACAAAATACCTTACAGCCGGCTAAACTCGCGATGGGATTAATGCGCTTTAAGTGTTTTTCATTATACTTGCCTCTTCTCGAGTAAAGATAGACGGAGTGCAATTCGGTTTAACGTTTATTTCATTCGTCACCGACCGCGTGGTTCGATCAAAATTAGCATGCTTATGTATGTACGTATACGTGCGAGTGAAATGAAATCAATGTCGTGTGACACGTGTTCCCGAATGGAACGAGCGATATTCACAAATGACGAAAGAGATCGGTCGCGGCGGGGAATTGAACATTTCGGGTTTCACCGGACGCGTCGCGTTACACGCGCACACGTTGCGCTTTAGATAGCAGCTCACGTGAACAAATCTTGATATTTCTGTTTCAGCACACGCTCACGGGCCACTGCGCAAAGGTGATGGCGGCGAAGTTTCTTGGCGAGCCGTCAAAAGTAGTTACCGGAAGTTATGATCGCACCCTAAAAATCTGGGACCTGCGCAGCAAAGCATGTAAGTGGGCGTTATTCTGTCGATTTAACGAGAGACGAAAAATGGGGCCGCCCCCCCCCCTCCTCTCCCGCTTAAAATATCCAGCTTTCTCTTACCAATTTTTTTGGAGAATTTTTATTTTACTCTCCCTTTGTACGTTTCTACGACTGCGAATACGCGTACAACTTCTTATGCGTCTTCTTTCTACTTTATTGTTATTTGTCATATATCTTTTTCTTTTATTTCTCTTTTCACAAATTTCTCACCGCCGATTATTGCCGTAACGTCCTCAGAGGAATTGTCCTGGATGAAAATGAAAGCATCTATCTATCTTTCTGCCTATCTCCCTCACAGACATAATAACGGAACAAGATCTCCGCCTAAATCGGGCATTAAATACAGCCGTAAGATTTACTTTTCAACCTTCGAAGAAACTGCCGCATTTCTCTGTACTATCAAGATGTAAAGTAGCTTAAACCAGCAGCAAGAAGAATCCACTTCCTAGGCTGTCTAATGAGTCGTGTATATACTGGATATAAAACAACCGAAATTCCTATATCAGGGATTTATTCACGGAGCCGAAATTTCATCAAGAAATACTCGTGCCGTACCTGACTATACGAGATGCGACTTAATCGGGCCGAAATGTATTAACATTCTTTTAGATATTACGGTGTCAGATTTCGAAATAGATTACTTTCAACAATCCGAAATGCTTGCGCTAAGTAGAATTAAAAACTACTCGCTATAACTTTTTATTGAAACGTGGAGCCTCTTACAGTATAGTTTCTGAGCTCTTTCTATCCTGACCTTAAATTGGAAACCGATTTCCTCTTTCTATTAAGATGATGCCTATAGAATATGCTTTAATCTATTACACCGATTCGTATCGTCACGCGGATTTTTATCTTGCCTCCGTTCTCCGTGTACGTTTATACCTTCCGATCACCATTTCTGACTTTGTACTTCGACATCCGTCTTTATTTCCGTTGCAACGCTATTTCATTATTCCTTAATTATCTGATTTTTAGCACTCGAAGGCTCTCTTTTCCCGGGACGCTCAATAAATTAATCCCCTCGTCTCATTCCCGCGGAAAGGAGACGCGCGGTGTGAGATCGTTAAAAAATTAACGACCTCTTACACGGGATATTCCGAGACGTCGTTCCTCCAATCGCGAGTAAGGATCGGGGACGGCCGCGGGAAGTTTCGTTCCGCGGCCGGTGGGACGACGCAAAACGCGTTTTAATCAAACCCCTTCATTCACGGCGGACAATTTCGCTCGTCCGCTTTGATATCCGCCGACGGTCGCGTTTCGTCTCACGCAGTCCCGTAATCCCGAAATCCGGCGGCGACCGCAGGGGTAACGTGCAACGGGAATAAATACCTTCAAGACGACCGGGAGAAAATAAGTAGCGGTTGCTTGCGGCTGACATATCACCGGGCGCATAATGTTAACGCGGTACATTCGTTCCGACTCGTAACAGAAGCGAAGAACTCGCGCTGCATGGCCCGAGAGTAATGCGCGGCGCTAGCGGTAATCACGTCGCCCATTACCCCTATTAGTCGTTGCATAATGCAAATACACTTACGGGCGTTCCAAGATAATAAAACAAACGGCGAATCTGCATGGTCATTCATATGTATATTCCGTTGCGCGTCGTGCGCGACCGCACAATGGACCGCCGCGCGAAATATGACGCTCGTAATGTCCGGCCCGATTCGTCCGTTCCTGCGTTACATTCATGCGAAATCACGTCGAAATCCTCGGCGTAATGGCGGAAGAGTGGAGAAAAATCCGCCGGTCGCTTCGTCGTCGTTGCGTGAGGTTAATTCAACCGATAAGATCTCGGAGGAAGTACAGATCCACCTCCCCCCGAAATCCGCCATCGTCTTGCGCCATGCCTCATCGGCATGGGAAACGCTTTATCTCTCGATATTGACGGCTTTTAAACGGGCGATCCCTTTACAGGGTGGATTTCGCCGGGGGGAGGCTCGCGGCTTAACGCTTGAATGAGAGTATGCTTAAAGATAAAAAAGACCAGAGAGGCGGGAAAAAAGTTTACAGCGGGAGATCGGCTGAGCGAGCCGGTCTCGGAACTTCGACGGTTCTTCGCGAGCGGAACGAGGCGCGCGCGCGCGCGCGAATCAACGATAACAATGATGGATTTATTCGATCTAACGAATGATCCGTCGGAAGCGGTAAAGCGGGCTTAGTCGCGGATCTATTAGCCGCGGGAAAGAGTATCATCTTAATTAGCTCTTAAACTAAGACGCGGCTTTATCCGGGACAAGATGGTTATAAGACCGCGGTATCACTCAAACTCCCCTTCGTTATGTCATTAATCAGTCGTTAACGAGGGCCGAGCTGTTAATCGATTAAAGGGGGGAGGGGGAAGGGCGAACATTCGCGACTTGACTTTCCTCGAATATCGCGCATTGTCCGAGCCGCTTCGCGCCAGGTCCGCCCGAATATGGATGACGTGGGAATTACACCCTCCGGCGTGCATGCATGCATTCGCGTCTACCAGCTCGGCCCCTGTTAGAATCAAGTCCCTTTTGTACCAGGAAACTTCACACGACGTGATCTAATTTCGCGCGAACAACTACCGCATTCGAGCGCGAATAATCCGGGCGCCGATGTGTCCGAGTGTTCCGCGACCTCTTCGCGACTGACAGCAGGTGTCGAGGACTACGCGGTGGCCCCGCCCGTCCGGTCGAGCTCTAACAACGACGGTGCTTTCTTTCGAGTAATCGGGAATCGGCCATGCCGTAGCGCCGGAATAGTAACGGGATAATTCGCGCATTCAAGGGCGCGAGTAATGCCTGCTTCCCAGAAGGCTGGCCGAGCGCTGATCGCGTGAAGCGACCGCCCGGACGCCGGGAATTGATTACGCTAATTGTCGAGCATTCCGTAGAAAAGCGGCCACTCGTCCCGCTCGTCCGAGTGTCCACGTGGAAGATGCCACGGCTTCGACGTATATCGGGTTCGCGGCTCGCTCGTCCGTGAAATGGAGGAATCTTTCGGCCGGCGCGCGAGATAAGCGGTCGAAGACAGGGAGAGGGGGTGGGGGGTGAAAGTGATAATTTACAGCCGGATGAAAGTGGCCGTTCTCGAGGTGGAGATCCGCGCGGTGTCCCCCGTTGCGAAATCGGTGGGGGCTTTAACTGGCGCGAAAAATAAATCGAGCAAGCTCGCAAGGCCGGGCCGGACGCGGCGCAGATAGCGGCCGCGGCAGCGAGAGGATCTCATTTCCCGCAAATGTATTCGGGATTTACATTCGACCCCGGCGCCGAACTAATCTCGGTGAAACGGCGCGCTATCTGAAGAACGGGCCGAGATATCGATTTACACTTCGGTCAACAGAGCGCCGGCGAGTCCTGCGGCGGGGCGAGCATCGTATTGACAAAGGATACAAAGCTGCGGGGACTGCTTAACACGACGGCACACAGACGGACGGTATTAATTTGCGAAGTCCGGCTTCGCCTTAAACCTTGGCCTTTAGTTACCGCACTCGGTCCGTGTGCTCGCCGCGCGGAATAATAATCCGCCGAGCTTCTCGCAGCCGACGCACACCGAGTGTTCCGTGGAATCCCGATAAATCGCCTGCTTCGTCTCGTCGGAGGTACGTCGTTATTATCTAGCTGGGATGTAATTAATGACGAAAACGAGGTTACTCCGACAAGGCTGGCTGGCCACCGCCTGCGCTACCTGTGAGACACGTGATAAACGCGCAGCCCGGCTTTGAACCGCTCCCGATGACGATGGATTCTTACGAGGACGCGTGATATCGTGTGCGTGTGTTTCGGTCGAGGCACGCTATACCAGGTTGATTGATAACTCCTTAGAATGAAAATTAAAACGGACATTTTGTTAGCAAAACTCAACTTTATTCTTCAACATAATCTCCTTTTAGCTCAATACACCGGGTCCAACGAGTTTCTAGCTTTCTTTAAGCCTTCCAAATAATAAGAAGTTTATAAACCGCCAAAATATACGGTCTGTTTCCCACTCAACCTCTTCATTTGAAGCAAATCTCTTTCCCTGGAGCCATCTTTTGAGATTTGGAAACAGGTAGAAGTCACACGGTGCCAGATCTGGAGAATATGGTGGATGTGGGAGCAATTCGTATCTCAATTCGTTCAATTTTGCCATTGCTTTTACCGATTTGTGAGCTGGTGCGTTGTCTTGATTAAAGAGAATTTTTTTCTTCGCTAAATGAATTTTTTCTTGATTTCATCATTCAATCGGTCCAACAATTATGCATGATATTCTCCTGTGATTGTTCTTCCTTTTACAAAATAATCGATGAGGATTATTCCATATGCATCCCAAAACACAGTGGCCAGAACCTTTCCAGCCGATTGTTGCACCTTTGATCGCTTCGGAGCACTTCCACCTTTTGGAACCCATTGTGCCGACTGTTGTTTCGATTCAGGTGTATAATGGTGGATCCATCGACGGTTATGTATCGACGCAAAAATTACTTTGATTAGCGCCTGAACATGTCCAAACAATGCTGAGAAGTGCGAATTCGTTCACGTTTTTGATCGATTGTTAGCAATCGCGACGCCCATCTTGCAGTTACCTTTCTCACATCCAGATGTTCGTGCAGGATATTGAACACACGTTCAGGTGAGACGCCCAAAGCCGCAGCTAGTTCGCGCAATTTTACTTTGGGATCATCCAACATGACATCATGGATTTTTTCACTCATCTCTGGTGTAGTCACCTCATTTGGACGACCCACTGCGTCGTGCATCCGATGTGCTGTTATGACCACGTTTAAACTCAGCAATCCAATTATATACGATTGTATTCGACGGAGCAGACTCCCCCAAAGTTTTTTGGGAGTCCTCAATCATTTCTTGCGGTTGCAAGCTTTTCAACTAGAAATGCTCAATCACTGCACGAATTTCAATTCTTTCCACTTTGACGAAATATCAGATATCATGTGCTTTCAGTGGCTGCCACAGATATACCGATTGCCATTGCTGTCTGCAACTGTGTAGCGAGAGGATT